TATGAAATCAAACTGACCCCATATTTTTCATAGTTTAAATGAAAGAGCACTATACCTCAAACCCTATATCTATCCCGAAGGATAAACACAAGATTTGAGGATGAGGCTCGATCAAATAAACTGAGAAATATATGACGTCCGTTTGGTCTACGAAGCTGTTTATTTGCCGACAAGTTTCCATATTTAATATGAAGAATTGAATAGGGTTTATATTAAGCTGGGTTCGGAGAAGCTTCCTATAAGGGCAAGCCCCTATAGTTAATTACATCTTAGATAACCGAAGTCACCTAAGAAAACTCTCGATAAAAATAAGAAAATATTATCTTCAAGGAGTTCAAAAGGATATGACTTTTCAACGAAATCGGACGAAGAGGTGTGAAAGGGGAATAGTTCAAATTTGGAACATTTTATTTTTGTAATCCAAAGGAGGAAGAACTAGGGGATGTCATAGATCCGGTGGAGAACCTCGGTGACTTTCCAATCTATCCTATTGTTTGGCTTCAGTTTAGAAGGGAAATTATTTGAATGTTTCATCCTGCAAATTTTATTTATTTAGGGTTTACATTTGTGTGAAACAATCACACAAATAGCCTGGAAGATGTGTGTTTTTAGGTCGTGGTGAACGACAACCTTGGAATCTTAAGACGAGTTAGGGCTTATATTGTACAGTAGAGCTATATAAAGGCCTAATGATAAGGTGAGAATTTACGTTACATAAGCAAACTACCTCGAAGTCCTATGGATTTGTTGTTTAATTCTAAGGTTAAGGAAGGAAATAGTTTAGCTGGGGAAGACAAGTTTTGTTGTTGAAGATGGTTGTGCTGCCCACCATGCTAGCTACAAGCTCCTCACCGCGAAGCTCCTCGTTGTGGCGAGTTTAAGTTTTCTATGGTGTCAAGTTATACAACCCTATGGTTGTAGGTCTTTAAATTTTATAATTGTAGTTTTTTAAATGTTATGGGTCATTCTAAAGTTGAGTAGAGCGACACCGGTTAGGATCCTATGGTTCCCTTGTTCCGGTACCACTATTTTCTATTGGATTCACTTAGTCCAAGTGAATTTACTAAACTCAACTTAATGAGTTCCATACTTTCATTTAGACCGTGGGAAGCCTCGTTAACAACCATAGGTTACCTCATCCGAGGGATTCCCGATCATTCGATAGAGACGTCTTAATTTAGTTGTAGCTGTGGTTTTTTATGATGTTTGTGATTAAATTTTGAGTTATCTTATATTTTGAATGTTGTGGGGGTGAATTTTATCTTGGTTGATTTTAGCTTTAGTTTTGGTTTTACGACTACCCTAACATTTTTGGTTTTCATGCAAGGTGACATCGTTGTTTAACATGCAAGTTTATAAGCATAAAAGTACAGTGTGGAAAGTATAGAAAAAGGACAGTACTGTAAACTGTAAAAGCGTACCTGACGAGTCTTCTCATTCTACTGCCTGAACTCAAAAATGCATGTAAGGGCATTTTATATGAAGTGAGAAAAATAAGGTTCTGGTGATCTACCATTTCCTAAATCAGATCTTGTTGGGTCCCTCTCAATTTGAATAAGGATGATTTTCATTAAGCAAAGCATATTAAGTATAGTAGACCTTTGAGGTATCCAATAGGTCTGGAGAAAGAAGCAGGTCCATGCTTCCCTCACACCGTTTGGTGAAAAGCCTCAAGCTCATTTAAACTTATTACGTTGCTTAATAATTTATCCTGTAAATATCTCTAATGCTCAATGAACATTTATGTTTCAATTATCCCTAAGAGTAAGGTAATTATCATTTATCACTCAATTTGAAAATTATGTGGGTAAAGACCCTTAAAAGGGGCAAGTTAGTGTTATTAAGACATTTAGTCAATTTTAGTTCTAGCTTGGGCTTGTAGTGTTTCAAAGGTGTTCAAATTTTTATTTACTTTCACTTTTCTAATCCTCATTTAACCAAATTTGATTTAGCTCAAGTCACTACTAAGCCCTTATGGTTCTAGTGAATGTCTTAATCATTTTGAAGGAGATTTCTAAGTGATAATAATTCATCATCAAGACTTTTGAATGCTACTTGAACGTCCAAAATGGGTTATTGAATTAATGAGTTATTAACACCCAACACCATACCCCTAAGTCTAGGATCATTTAATTTGATATACTTCCAAATTTTAATGATTTAAGGAATTTACACATTAATCTTTCAACTAGGGAAAAGTAAGATTGGTTTCTACCAATTAACCCCTTATGTTTCAATCATCCAAATATGTTAATTAAGATCAAAGGTTGCCCATTTCCCTTTCTTGAGTTAAGCCTAAATGTTAATTAAGGCTAAATTTCAAAAATAACACTTTTGCCCCT